CTCCTGGTTGAAGGCATTCTTGAGCAGCTCCACCTCCTCGGCCACCACAGGGGCAGTGCCCGCTGGCGCCGAGTAGCAGACATTGGTGATGCCTGGAGCACTGGACGTGGAGCCGGCGACGGAAATGTTGTGCGGGGAGTGGGAATCTGTGCCGGACGGAACCTTGCCCGTGGTCGAATTTAACTTCAACTTGTCGCGCAGGTCACTCTTCTCGCTCTCCAGCGCATCGATGTCGTTTTGCAGGTGGTCCATCGTCTCCTCGAACTCCTTCTCCTTGAGCTGCAGCTGCTGGCGCGTCTCCTCGTACTGCTGCTTCCACTTGTCCACCGCGTGCTCGTATTCGTTCTGCAGCACGCTCAGCTTCTTCTCGGCCAGATCCTTGCGGATCTGCATCTCGCTCAGCTCGTTCTGCTTCATCTTGGCGGCCAGCTTCAGTTGTTTGACATCCGCCTCGCGATTCTCCAGTGTGGCGGCCAGCACATTCTTCTGCTCCAGCTGCTTCTTGATCAGCTGCGCCCGCTGAGTGATGGGCGTGCTGTGTGCCCCCGATTTCTGTTGACCACCGGCACTGTTGGCCGCCGAAATGATCTCGTACTCCTTGTCCAACAAATGCTGGGCAATGTGCTGCAGATCGGAATTGGCCTGGGCCAGCAAGGTCTTGAAGTTGTGCGTTGGTCCGCGGTCATCCTGCTCGTAGATGCGCTCGCAGGCTGCGGAGAGAAGGGCCCAGTATTTCTCCTGGGGCAGCGTGTGCTCCGCCGCATTGTCGCTCTCGATGGTGGCGACAATGGCGGCCAGGGATTGCTTGGTGGCCTGGTGCATTGCCGACATGATGCGACTGATGTTCTGCGCCAGGGCACGCATCGCCTCCACCTTGTGCTGCGACAGACCGCTCTTGATCACATGCTGGTCGCTCGGCAGACGGCGCTTGATCAACTTAACCTGTTGCCGCACACTCTCCATGTTTTCGTTGAGGAACTGAATCAACAGCACCGAATCGCTGGTGGCACCTGCCTCCTGGATAATGGCCTTGGCGATGGCCGTATCGCTGAGAATGCTCTCACAAGCTGCTCCCAACGAAGCCACACAGTCGCGGATCATTTGGATCTCGTTGAGGAGTTGTTCGCCCGCCAGCAGGACAGAGTTCATGGCATTGAAGAAGGCCACACATTTCTCAATATTATCCGTGGTGCTGTTCTCGTCCAGTTGGTTGGATTTCAGCAGTTCTATGATGCCATCCACAATCTTTTCTTGGGCCACCATTTCGGGCAGTGAGCTTCCGGCTCGCAGGAGCGTATCCGGTTGGCAGCTATTGAGTCCGTAGAGAATCTGGTGCAGGGCACACTGCAGACTGTGGACGTAGTGCAGCAGGCGGCACTTGAAGGCATACTGCTGGACGGCATGACCCTGGGTCACCGCCTCCCTGGTAATCGCCTCCACGGCGGGGAAACGTTCCCGCGTCTGCGAGACCACAATGCCGCACTTGAAGACAATGCGTGAAATGAGCAGCACCACCAGGATGGAGTCATGATCGCCGCCGCGACTCATGAACGATTCCGGCATGAAGGCGGTCAACATCTGGACATGCTCGTTGGCCTGACTGAGCTCGATCTGGCGCAGTTGAACGTCGATGGCCCGTGTGTAGGCCTTCGACTCGGCGAACATCTGCTTGTAATCGATAGTTTCGGTGGCCAGTTTCAAGCTGGGATCCTGCAGCGATTCCTTCTCATTGCTGGAATTACGATCCCTCAAATCCGTGAGTTGGTCGTTCAGCTTTTGCACCAATTCCCTGAACTTTGTGATGGTCTGATCGCGATCGTAGATGGTCTCGATGGCTGCATCTCGCTCCCGCAGCACCTCCTTCTTGGCCCCATTGGCCAGATCCAGTTCCTCGCGCAGATCCAGCTCCAGCTCGTGGTTGCTCTCCACCAGCTGTTCGTGTACCTCCTCCAGAGCCTCCAGTTGGGCGATCTCCTCCTCGAGCAGCTTCACCTTGTCTTCCAGCTCCATTTTCTTCTCGGCCAGTTGTTCCACCATTTCTTCGGCTCCCAGTGCAGCATCGACTTGTTCCTGGCACAAAATAACCATATTAGTTTTGCTCGTTTTAAGTTCAGTCAAATGTGAAACGGTTAGGGAAATGTTTAAAATTTTGTCTGGCGAAATATTCACAATATACACAATTTACCTCCTTGGACACCGTTAATTATTAAGTTTAAGGCAGGCCGGCAAAAAGAAAGGCAATGAAAAAGTTTATCTTTAGATTGACCTTGGTCAAAATATATTACACATGTAAACAGAAGATATCGTTTAAATAAGCTTGAATTTGTACCTATCAAAGTAATCTATTCTCTCATCCTTAATGCTTTAAATTCTTTAAAAGAAACTTACTGATTTTCATTTAAAAGCAACTAACTAGTTAATTTACGAAAGGAAAAAGCATTAAGTCTGGTATTATTTAAATTTAAAAGGCGTTTTTCACAAGCTATTTAAAATATAGCTCTTTTTACGATTTCAAAATAATTTGAAACATTGAAGTTCGGAAAGTTCACTTTTAAGCGATATCTTCTTTATAAAAAACAGCGAGAACTGGCGAAAAGCAGCAAAGCAAAGAAAGCGAAACTGAGGCAAGCCAATTTGCGTGAATTTTAATCGGAGTGTGAAGTGTGGGAAAACCAATTGATGGCGGGCAGTGAGAAGGGCATAAATGCAGTACTAATCCTAGGATGTTCACCTGCAAGTCGGCCACCGTGGCCTCCAGTTCATCGATCTTGGAGCTCAGCTTCTCCTTAGTGCGCTCCAATTCGGCGACCTCGGAGCGCTTCATCTCCAACTCCTTGCTCAGCTTCTGGATATCGTGTTTGTCATGGGCAGAGAGATCCCTCAGACGCACTAGTGTTTCCTTCAGCCGGATATTCTGCTGCTCCAGCTGCTTAAATTCGTAGGTGGAGAGTCCGGGTGAATCGCCATCGCCTGAGATACTGCCAATGGCGGACTCTGCCTTATTTTGCATCTCCGAGCGCAATAGCTCCAGATCAACTTGCAGCTCCTCAATGCGCTCCTTGGAGGACTCCAGCTCCAGCTGCAGTGTGTCGGCCTTCTCCTCGGCCATCTCCTTGTCCAGGGTGATCATCTCCACGTTGTCCGATAGATCAGCCATTTCCTGGGCATGCTGCTCCTTGGCCTCCACCGCATCCTTGGCCTCCTGCTTGGCGCGTTGCAGTTCCTTTTGCAGCGAAGCTTGTGCGGCCATGATCTTGGTGCGAAACTCTTGCAGCTGCTCGAACTGAATCTTCATCTTGTCGAACTCGCGAAGTCTCTCCTTGTCCTCGTTTCTTCGCTGCTTCAGGGTCTCCAGTTTCTCGGTGAGATCGGCCAGCTGGGCCTGCAGTTCAGCGCTTGTTTTTTGCGCCTCCAAGAGGGCAGTCTTATCCTCAGCTCCTCCAGAGTTGAGGGGCATGGTGAAGGAAGGCGAACGAAGGGGCTGCGAGGGCGTAAACTGCGGCTTGAGGATCTCTAGGAAACCCGTCTCCACGAATGAGGCCCGCTTGGAGGAGGCATGCGAACCGGCTCCGTTGCCACCGGCTGCTGCAGCTGCTCCCTCAGCCAACGAAGCGCTGGAGGCTTCCTTATCCTTGCTATTTTGCGGGACCAGCGATTTCCGGGGACCAATGCTGCTGCTGGAGCCAGTGCATTCACTCAGTGATGTGGTTAACTGGGTGCGAGAACCCAACAACGATTGACGGCTGGAGGAGAGCGAGGTGCGAGAGCTGCTCAGCCGCGCCTTTGTGGGTTGGGCAGCCGTGGGAACGGTCCCGCTGACGTCCTCGATGCTGCGCCTGCTTCCAGGAGCAGCCTCCAGCAGACGCAGCTGCGTGGGACGCACGAACATGCCGCAGTTCTCCTCGCACTGGAAGTACTGCTGCCCCTTGATGGAGCCGCTGTTCTTGCCCTTCGGCTCGTCCAGCACGACGCCCACCCACTTGCCGACGGCGAAGCTGGTCATGCCCACGTAGGCCACCGTGCCGAGCAGATCCTTGCCGGTCAGCTCGACGCGGGCGCCCACTTTCAGGTTCTTCTCGGACATCTCGCTCTCGATGTGTGTGCGTGTGTGTGACCAGGAGGATGTGGTTTCGACTGATGGTTATGAATGCTGTTCGATGGGGGTGGAGCTGTAGTTGGAGGGTCACTGATCCTGGAAGCCAATCCCACTTACTGCGCTGCACTTGCTATGCTTTGGCCAACAGTCACGTCTCAGCTAGCAAAAAATGGCCGTCGGCTTGCAGGGAGAAAACAGAAAATGTTGACATCATTAGTCACCCATACAGACAGCACAGGTAGCTTCAGTTAGCTCTGCCTGTCTTAAAGAGCCAAACTTGATGGACCTACCTGCTTTTCCAATCGGGCAGGTGTTCCTTTCTTTGTCTCCACCGCCAGGCTTACCATTTGCGCTGTATTTCTATTGCAGGCAGCTTTAAATTGGAACGAAATCGTTTTCCTAAAATATTTGCAATGTTTTCAGTGTGACCGTGTGAAGTAACTAGAGGTGACAAAATTCATTTGTAGTGATTGTGAAAAATATAGTGACTTAAAGAAGTAACAGGTTACTTATTCAAAAAGAAAATTGTATGTTATCTTCACCATTCTTACGTCAAATAGATTCCACTTTGATAAAGTTTTACGAGAAATAGAATATATATATACAAAATTATGAAATCAGCTTGTTTGTTACAACTTTCATAATAACTGATGTATAAGGGCACATGCTCTTTACAAAAATTTATTTCGTTGTTCATTTTCAAGTAACAGTCACAACACTTCCTCAAGCTGCTACTATTAGCTGTGCAATGCAGACAGCTGCTAGATTGTAATTTATTAATTTATTATTCACTATATACGTTTCGTTATTCATATCAAAGTAGCAGTCACTATATATCGTTAAATTGTGACTGTTAAGTGGACAGTCCGATCAGCTGTTTTATTATTATTCAGGTGTGTACACACTGGCGCCCAGGCCAAACAAATTATTTCGCAAATAAATGGAATTTTTAGCTTAAAATGGACGAGGAAGAGCATCTACATCGCTTTGGAACCCCATTGCAGCCATTAGATAAGGGTAAGTATGGACAGCAATCTAACGCAGCATTAATAACCTCTCCATGCCCCAAAAACAGATGTAGTGCCGGCAAAAAAGCCTGTGGGCATCGAGGACCAAGTTGTAAAGGACGAAAATGGAAAACGGAGGTTCCATGGCGCCTTCACCGGCGGCTTCAGTGCTGGCTTCTGGAACACTGTGGGCTCCCTGGAGGGCTGGACGCCGCAGACCTTCAAGAGCTCGCGGGCGGAGAAGGCAACTCCGCGGGTGCAGCTGAAACCGGAGGACTTTATGGACAACGAGGATCTGGGTGAGTTTGGCATTGCTCCCCAGGGAATTCGCACCCGCGATGAGTTCGCCAAAGAGGACGAGCAGGAGCAACGGTCCGGGCAGCGGCGCCGCAAGCTAATGCAGCCAGAGTTGGGAGTGGGACCCATACCAGGTGTTCCAGTGCTGGAGCAACTCCTGCGCCCGGTGCGTGACAAAGTGGCTGTTCGGATACTCAAGAGCATGGGCTGGAAACCAGGCCAAGGAGTTGGTCCACGACAAACGCGTAAGGAGAAGCGTCAGGCCACTGCAAGAAACACTAGGGAGCAGTATCTGCTGGACCACTACGGCGCCGAGGAATTACCCGCCCAAAAAGAGACCAATGGAGAAGACAGCAATGCTGAGGACGAGGACGACGAAGATATAACCTTTGCGCCGGATGACTATGAGCCCATCTTTTACGCGCCCAAAGAGAATCGCTTTGGCATGAGCTACTCCGGCCTCAGCCGTGATCCCATCCTATCGAAGTCCGCCTCTAGCACTGCCAAGCCCATGCAGCACATCAATCTCTTTGGCCAGCTGGAGGAGCAGGCTAAAAGCAAGCAACTCTCCATTCGGGGTCAGGCCTTTGGAGTGGGAGCTTTCGAGGAGGAGGACGAGGACATCTACGCTCGCGATGATATGACCCGCTACGACTTCTCGCTGGCAGACAAGAAACCCAAGCAAAAGAAGCAGCAACATGTCCAGCAGCGCCACGTCATCGATGGTTTTAGTGAGGACAAATCGGGGGCAGCTCTTCAGAAGCCCTATGCCATTGATCTGCCCAGGGACTTCCAGGCCAGGAACTGGCTACAGCGCAGGAGTCGATTTGCTCCAATGGACAAGGAACGAGCCAAAAAACTGGAGACAACCACGGAGTACAAGCGTTCGGGTCTGGGCAGGCACGATCTCAATCCCGACCAGCGGGCGCAGCTTCTGGGAGAACAGAAACAAGAGGAAAAGCCAGAGGAGGAACAGCCCAAGCGGAATCCCTTCAAGGATCGCGGTAAATCATTGCTAGAACGCATCAATGCCCGCACTGAGGGATTCACTAAAGGCGGGATAATCACTGAAAGCGGCGAGGAGCAGCGAACTGAACTGACTAAAGAGGTCAAGGAGTCAAATGCTGCTATACAAGAGAAAGCTGCCCTGAAGACCATGGATTTGGGTAAGCAAAGTTGTAGTTACTCAATGTAAAACATAAATAAAATCTTTTTCTTTTTTTTTTAGCTCCCACAAATTCATCTTCTGGCGCCTTCAAACCATTTCTGGCCGATGAAGCCAAACAGTTGCGCTACGAAAAATTTGTGGACTCCAAGCTAACAAATGACACAGAGATTACCGAATTGCTGGCCAGCATGCAGCCTGTCACACTGTCTCTGTGGGATCGGGAAATGGAGAAAAAGGAGTTCATTCAGGCAGCAAAGATCTATCGCCCGTTGGTTGGCCTTATGAACGACAGATTCATTTCGGAAGGCAATGTCGAGGCAGAAAAGGCCAAGGAGCAGGAAAAGACGTCGGAGGAGCGAAAAATAGTAATGGAGCGAACGAAGAGCATGTGGAAGCCCACGTCATTGCTCTGTAAAAGGTACAATATAGCAGAACCCTTTGCTGGTGCCATGCTGGAACCGGAAAAGGAACTCAAGACCAAGCCGAAGATTTCCGTTTTCGATTACCTGGAAACGTCGATAAACACAAAAGCAAACTTTCAGACACCCTCTATTATACCCAAGCACATAGAAAAGCCTAAACCGAAGGTAGTGGAACCCCCAGCTCTTCCTACTCCACCTCCACCAGTAGCTAATGAGCCGGAGAAACCGCCTACGAAAGAAGAGCCTTCCAAGTTCACATTTGTGCCTAAAACTCCGTTGGAGCAGGCTGTGGATGAATCCCGCGACAAACCCATTTCAGAAAAGGTTGACCTGTTCAAGAGCATCTTCGATGACAGCGACGAGGAGGAGACTGTTGAGGAACCACCAGAAAACCCAGCTCAGGACAAATTGGCTGCTCTGCAAGAGGCTTTGGGCTTGCCCTCCACGTCGACATCTTCAGCAGCAGCACATAATGTCCTGAGGAACACTTCGCCTCCCAGAGGAATCTTTGCAGCCTTGTTCAAACCAACGGAGGAGTCAGTACCCATGGAGCAAGCTCCACCCAAGTTCGCTCCCATCGAGGGGAATAAGTTAAAAATTTCGTACAAATCGCGAGAAGAACGACTGAGAAACGATAAGGAATTAGCCATGGCTGAGGTGCCGCCCGAGGATATCTACGGACCAAAACTGCCAGGAGCATTTCCCCAGAAACCTGCAGCCTCAGAGGATCGGGCAGAGGCCAGCATCGATGCCAAACTACAGCAGCTTTGGCAGCAGCATGCTCCCAAAAAGCGGAAAGCTGAAAAGTGGGTGGAAAAGAAGAGCATATCGAGCAGCGAGGACAGTGATAATAGTTCCAGCGATGATTCCTCATCCTCCGATTCTTCTGGTGGCAAGGCCAAGAGATCCAAGAAGTCACACAAGAGCTCCAGCTCGAAAAAGTCCAAGAAATCAAAACTGAAATCCAAGAAAAAATCTAAAAAGAGCGACAGATCCAAACACAAGAGCAAAAAGAAGAAGAGCAAACACTGATTGTAAATATTTAATAAACAGAATTTTGGCTTTGACTCTTTCTTAAATCAATTGGATCACTTAATGGTAGATTAAACATTGGGATCGGACTACTTTTATTGGTTTCCTTTTCCTCTTTTTTTGAATAAATTGAAGTACACGATCGAAAAAGTGAGCAGATTAAAGTTTTAAATGATCTAGTAACATTGGCTTCATTTTGAACTATTTTTAATTGTTTGCATTTATAATGCTTTGCTTTTAAGATGATTGTACAATTGTAAAAGGTATTCAAAAATGTTAATTATGAAATTTATAAGAAGCGTTTTACAATTTTAACATATAACTGAAAATATGTACCAAAAAAATTTTTTTAGTTACTCATCTGCTATAAAAAGAACAGATAGAAACCAAGTAAAGTAAAATTTGACAAATCAATTAGGTGAAATACAAAAGTTGAATTCTTGTAGAAACTTTAATCGGATATTGGTAGCATGTACTAATAATCATAGAATGAAATATCTTTTGATAGCATACCATGAGCGCTTACGATATTCGCCACATCGTTTTACCATGGCTCTGTGGTGCTGTTCACCCAGGTAGATCGTTTGGTCAACAAAACAAAAAATCAGATACTGGCTCTCCGCTTGCAGCCGCTCTCTCTTGCCTTTGTTGGCTGGGAGAGAGGCTCTTGGCCAGGCCAAAAGACGGGACCAGCTTCAGTTTTGAGTTCGGCGTGTGTTTTGCCAGTTTCGCTCGGCTCACCTCAGTCGCAAAGTACGTGTAACCAAAGATAGACGAGTCCGAGTTCCGATCCCAGTGGTCCCAAATCCGCTCAAAAGTTTTTCAGCAGCCGTAGGAACAGCCGCGAGCAACAACAATATATAGACATCATATCGCTGGCGGATTGCGGATGCGGATAGGGGGTCGTGGATGCGGAGCGTGGCTCGTAATGTCTGCCAAAGCGTAACGAAAATTTCCAGTGCTCAAGACAACAACATCGTATCATTAATGGCATTTTCTGTTTCGAGTTTGTGTGTGAAAAAAAAGTGCACAAAAGTGGCAACAACAACCGAAAAAAAAGTAATCAAGCAGCATGAAAATCTAAAAGGTATACAACAACGAAATTCCTGCCTTTTTTTGCTTATCGAAAATACCCAATCAAATAATTACAATTAATGGCGCAAATTACTCGAAAATAGAAATGTAAAAATTTAACAAAATATACCCGTGTATAGTGGAAAAATTGGCATTTACACACCTGCAACATTTGTTTGCTTTTGTGTTTGTGTCTACCTAGACGCTCGCAAGTGTGTGTACATAAAGATATAGCCGCGAATGTGTATGTTTGCCGTTGCATAGCTGTAAACCAGTTGCCAATTGCAACGTGTTTTTTGAGTTGTTGGTCCAAGACATAGCCAGCAAAAAATATATATAAAAATGTCTAGGAAAATTGTGAAGTTGTCATGGAAAACTCAAAGCGAATTAACAATTAATCAAGCAAAAAAAACTTTTTAAAAATTAATATTTGTTACCCACAATACATCTTCAACGTAAACTAAATAACTTATACTTGTAAGTGATAAAAGAAAAAACAAAAAATTTAACTTAAAATCATGTTTCAATCACGGAATTTTCCACAACCTTAACGACACAATAAAGTTTAGCAGCTTGACAAATTCATCTCAAGATAAATTGATATCAAAGCTACCATTTTATAGAACTGCTTGCGTGTTACCGCCGAAAAACACGTTCGAAACGAGTGTTAAAATGACAAAGAAGAAATCACAGAAATGAAATCGAACAAAAATAGGAGAAAAAAAAAAACAGAAACTAAGAACTAAAAAGACTTAACTCGGCTACGTTTTCGCCTTTTTTTGGCTAATAAAGCAATTTGATATCGTAAAGCAAAAAACACTGAGAACTACAACAGAGTGAGATCATGATTGCAATCGTAAAAGAGAAAGAGAGGGAGAGCAAAGCAGCAATACAGCAACAGAGAGAAAGAGTGTGGGAGAGAGTTAATTTAGTTTAAGCCAGGCCAAAAAATACATGGCAACGAAATAAATAAGCGAGCGATTCAGAATTTCCATTTGTCAATATAGCCCAGCAACAACAATAGGTAGCCCATATATCACTGTGTCCAGAATATATATAAATAAATTTAAATCGCTTATGGATCCAAGCTCAGCTGTGTGGAGGTGTAAGAAACAAAAAAGCGAAGTGAACAAAACAAAAAGCAGCAACCAATTTCGCAAAAAAGCTCGCCAAGCTGACAGAACGGCAAAATTTGAAGAGAGAGAGCCCGAGCGAAACGCTGACGTCGTTCAGCTTGTTTTAACTTTTGTTTTGAATTAAAAATGTTAATTAATTGATGATGGCTTATAGTTCTAAGAACTAACAAAGGGGGAGATAGACGTGTATAGGGATGTCCATAAAGTGGGAACCACAACTTATAATTAAGAGCTCAGCTTGCCATCAATGCTACACAGGCAAAAATAAGATATTATTTTACCTGAGATTAAAAGCTTAAACAAATTAATAAGTCTTATTTATATTTATATCCTTTCCTTACTATAAAAATATACATTTTTTAAACGTATTTATTATTTGATACACCTTTTAAAAAAGCAGCAGTCCGATTATTTTTTTCTGTGTACCTCATCTTCTTCTTGATGTTATGGGGCTTTGAGAAGGGTCACTCACAGCTCAAGGTAATCAAGGTTGATGATTGTTCAAGTTTTGTTTGTGTTTGGCCAAACAGACTTGCCCCTAATGACACCGAAATGAGAATCTTTATCTCTCTTTTAACGAAGTTATTACAATTTTTAAATTGAGAATGTTAATGTGCGCCTTAAATATACATACTTGTTGTTTAAAAATGCTTAAAAATTATCTTAGACTTTTTTTAAAATGAATTTACATTGTCGAAAGAATTCCTAACTATTCTTACTATTGCAAGAAATTAAAGTAATACTATAAAATATATATAAAAAACTAGTTTGCGGTATGCCCACAAGGATTTATTTAAATTTCGTTCAAACTTCGCTTACGATATTCAGTAGAATTTTTTTTGTTTTCCCCGTCGTAAACTCTATGGAACCACAAAACATCTGATCAGTTCTGCACTCTCTTCATCCGATTCTCTCAGAATTTTTTTTATCTTTCTCCAATTCTCCAGTACCTTCGGCAAGCCTCTAAATGTTGACGATATTCGCCTACCTGTTTTTGGTTTGTTTTGTTTTGTTTTGTTTTGTTTTCATTTCTTTGCCCAGGTATTGTCTGGCCAAACATTTTCCGCATTTTTTCATGTGTCTCTGAGCCAACTATTCAGAACACATAGGTAGCATGCCAGCCATCGAATGCGAACAGGTAGAAGCATAATCTAGCAAAAAAAACTGTGCTGTGCTGAAAAAAACTTTCATTAATGTTTTTGTTTTGCGTTAGCTAAATATTTCGAGACGATCCGCTATCTGTTGCCCAGAAAGAAGGGGTAACTGCGATTACGAGTCGTAAAAAAGAAATCCATCATTAGGTGCTGTCAACTCCGCTGTCGCTGTCACTTGTGTAGATTGGCACAGTGGGTTTGGAGAGCTTCTTCCTTTGGCCAAACTGCTTTGATATCGCAGAAAATGATTTTTGTCTGAAAGATAAACCATTTTTTACTGATAGAGTAGGATATATATAGATTATATAGGATATTGACTCACTAATGTAAAACACACACGAAATAAGAAAAAAATAATGACTTATTATTTTTTTTTTTTAAATTTGTTAGATTGTAAACGATATTATATTTTATTAGTATTTGAATGAGAAAAAAAAAATAGTTATTATCCCACTGTACCTGTGCAGCGAATATCGTAAATCAGTTGCGCGCCACGTTCAAACCGCATTCATTTTACTCCGGTGGCTTTGCCGCTCCACCGCGGCTTAGTTGTTGCTGGGCGGTCGATGGCGCTTGGTCTCCGCGGTCTTGGCTTCTAAGCCTCTGGAATGCCAACAATGTGCGGTGCGTTCGGTTTTGGTTCATTTTTTTTTATTTCAAACTTTTATTGACCGTTTCATTTACGGGTTGCTGCTGCTGCTGCTGCTGCTGCTACTGTCGCACTTTCCATTGAGTTGAAATGGTTTTCACCCGAATGTTTTGTCGCTTTCTTGTAGTTTGGTAACGAAATGGAAAAGAAAACTTGAAATTTGTGTCGATACGATTGCAAGTTTGGTCGCGTATCTTGCAGATACATCCGCTTGTCTGAGCAAATTGCACAACCCAAAAGAAATAAATAAGTAAACGCGTTACACGTGTCCCAAGTGCCCAAGTGTGTGTGTGTGAGTGTGTGTTCGAGTCTTTGTTCGCCGTTAGCTGTGCCAAGCCAAAATGCGCGTATCCGACAGATACCCGTCATCATCATCATTATTACCACCACAACCAGCACCATCGGCAATTGCATCGCACCAGATTTTGAGCAGCACGCACCTTGAAGTAATTGCAGCATCTGGCCATCGTCAACGCTGCGGAATATAATGAGTCAAAATGTGGCCGATAGTTTGGTGAGTAGCTAACCCATTATCTCGTACATGTACTTTACTATATGGTATATAGTAGTAAGCGTAGAAAGTAACAGGGAAATGCATAGAAAGTCATTTTGAAAGTATCTCGCTGAGCGGCGAACTTTGCGTGGAAGCTTTTGCCCAAGTCTGCTAATTACTTGGTCAAATATTTGGTCGACCATATCAACGCTAAGAAAAAACTGTGCCCTCAAGGGCTATACAATTTTTATTGAACGGATTTCGAAATTATCATCATTCACAACTTGAAACATTTTTAATATAATTAAGGCTAGGCATGATTTTTAATTAAAAAGTTTTCCTAATATAATTCAATAAATGGATTCAGCTTTTCCATATGACTAAAGTACTTTAAATGCACAATTTAAAAAATGACTAGTAATGATAATATTCAGGCTTCGATGAAACATTTTAAAATATTGCCGTCGTTTGTTAAAAACAATTTCTCATCGTTCCAATTCATTTTTGATAAACAAACGAGAATATATGTAAAAATATGTTA